AGGCCAGCTCCTGCGCCCCGTTGTGGCTAATCTGGTTGCTCCTAAGGTCAAGCTCCTTGAGGGTGGTGTTGGCAGCCAGGGCCTCACAGAATGTACCAAAGGAATTCTCTATCATGCCCATATCATTCTGTTCCAGACAGAGACTAGAGGTACAATTACAAAAATATAACCATCTCATTCTGATTAACTAAAATTAATTCATCTAAATGAGACTTTATTCACTCAGATCTTTAAGTGACAAAACATTCATAAAATCATATGCAGCTCTCTTTATGTAAATTGTTAAATGGTGCTTATTTTCAAAGGAATAAGCTAGAAAATTGTTGAGCAACTATTACATGATATAAAAATATATGAACAATTGTCAAAATAAACAGAGCACTTGTGGTTAATGTACATGTAGAAGGAATGATGTGGTCATTACCTAGTTAAACTCTTATTATGGCGTAACATTCTGGCAAGAGCCTCAGTCCCAGTTTCTCTTATATTATTTCCCTACAAAAAATTTTATGTCAAAAAGTGATAAGCATTTACATAAAAATATATCTATAAAATAATTTAGTAAATAAAAACTTTAAAATCTTTTTTTTTTTGTATAAACAGTAAAATATTTTGAAAAGATGATAAAATCTAAAGAAAAGAAAATCATATATTTTGTGAGGAAACGTAACACAAAGAAAACTTAACATACTGTTGTGTATGTAAGTACTAAATCTTATTGATTTAAAATGAACAAAAATGTAATACATTTACTTACTTTTAAATCCAGTCTTTTACAAACCACATTTTCAGCCATCCCATAAGCAAGACTTTTTACAGCTGCAAGTAAAATGACAAATGTGTACTGATGATAAAATAATCTGTCACAAATTATGTTATTTTGTAAAACACTTTGATCAAAACTACTTAAAAGTATACTGACAGATTAAGAAGGTGCTTTGTATCCTTTAGAACCTTACCATATTCATTGAGCATACAGTTTGACAGATTTATTTCAGAGAAAGTATGATCTGTTGCCAGCACTTTGCCAAGTATAGTACAGGTCTTTGGTGACAGACTCTCTCTGGATAGTTGAAGACTTTGTTTGCCTTTTCTGGGACTTGTAGGAATACTGAAAGAAATATTTTAAATGTACACATCTGTGTGTGTGTGTTAAGGGGGGGGGGGGGTATTTGCATCTTAACAGACTACATTTAAAGTTATATATAAGTGATGTTCAAAGCCTTAATCATATATATGGTCCAGAAGGTGGAAATATTTATTAATGGTTTACTACAGTTTATGTGACTAAAAGGGAATGAAATACTGATAAAATTTAGCTGTGTGGTGCACCTGCAACCTTGTTCAGTAACCTATTAATATATACAAAACGTTTTCCAATTCTTTAATCGCATCAATATAATAATTAATGCAACATCATTTTGTGAAAATATTGAAATACCTGCAAAAATTAATATTTACAATATTGGGACACAAAAAACATCAAATTCTTACATTTTAAGTTGCTTCATCAAGGCATCATGCGGTTCCACATTGTACTCCCTACACAAGCATAAGTAAGCTGACTTGAATTCATCCATCGCAACACCATCTCTAGTAACTGTGAATCAGATATAAAACATGTTATCACCAAAGATACAGGGGAAAAATACTTGAAGTACACAGTATACATTTGAAAAAAAAATACATTTATTTTTCATCTCAAAAAAGTATATTTACCACAACTTTGGTATAAAAGAAAAATGCATTTTAACACATTCACTAATATTCTTTGTGTTCATTTTGCCAAAGCAATCTATAATAATAAATAAATCAGAATATCTGTGTGAAGTGGATTTAAGATTGTGTGATATTCTTCTGTTCAGTATGTAACATATGGCATACTGGGTATTTACGGTGTACAATATAATCAATTTCCAAAATGCAAAATTATCTTAAACCATCTCTCATAATCTGAATTTATGATAAACATAAAATGTCCACACTCTCTTTACAAAAGTGATCAAGAGCTTCTCTCTGAAGAAAGGAATATGAGGATGGTTATATACAGTACATGTACAATGTAGCTCTAAATATGGGGGCGTCTCGATAGTCCCAAAGTTCATTGGTCCCATTGGCCCGAAAAATCGTAACATTTTTATCATTTTTTTAATCAAGGGTTCGTTGGTTCGAAGGTTCTATAGTGAACATTTGGTCCAATGAACCTTTGGACTATTGAACCTTGGACTATTGCTACGGCCCCCTAAATATACTGTCATATTTCAAGATAATCCGCAAATTTGGACAGCGTGGTCAAAAAAGTAACGAACGTTTTCTCGTGTTAATTCAAATGGAAGTTATTAAACCAATACCATACCTTTTGTTTATTAAATAAGTTTATATCTTCTACACCAGAAAAATTTCAAAGCACCGCCATGTATAAACAAACCTCATTTCGATACTCCATATACGAAAGAGCAGCCTCACTCGAAAAGGAGCGAAGATTTTAAACATAGAAGTAGAGAAAACTTCTATGATTTTAAAAAATGGTATTTCGTGTAGTAAATCGGTGCTGTGTTAAAAACATGCTATTATTGGCAATTTCGAAGAGTTAGAGTTGGCAATTTCTTATATATCCACGTTGAAGTTTTTTTAGTTTTGCACAGAATTTTATTATTACTGCATGTAATATAATACGGTGAAGCGAGCAGAACACGCATACAGAAATACATGACATCAAACTGGCACAAAAACAAACATATACATATGCATGTATGTTGTAAACAAATGTGGCACATGGAAAAATTGAAAATATTTTCTTGTTGCATAGCTCTGTAAAAATTATCAATTAACTTTTGGTCTTATGTTTACTGCATGTTACCCTTGCAAGTGAGTTTGAAAACTGAGGCAATGTTAAAGAATGTTGTCCCACGTACTGCATAGGTCAGAGGGATTAAGTCATTTTCCTTTGACTGTGACTGTGGCTTTCAGGGCCGTAGCCTGAGCAAAATGCCAGGGGGGGCAGTAAGCAGACACAAGGGGGCGAAGCACCCGAGGGAGGAGGGGGTGGGAGGGGCGTGTCCCCCTCCGACGGTGTGGAAAATTTTTAAAAACTGTATGTATAATACTGCATTTTGGTGCATTTTAACTGTTATTTATTGCTCAATCAGAAGTCAGAAATTGTGGGTTCTTTTTGCCATAAGTACAGTCATTTTTTTGGCATGAACTGAGTTAGCTAAAAACAGTACACCTTTGTAAACAGATTGTTGAGTGATTGTCTAGTGGCCATGAGTGCATTTTCTCACAGAATTGATACCAACTTTGCAATTATTNAAATCATCATTTTACTCTGTTTAATATCTAAGAAAACACATAAATTAAATGCTAAATTGTACATGTAGACATGATCATGCGCAGCAGACGATTCCGGTCTCCCTCCAGTATGGCTGCCGTTTGTTTTGATGACGAGGGCTACAATGGGTTAATTGAACCTTGGACTATTGCTACGGCCCCCTAAATATACTGTCACATTTCAAGATAATCCGCAAATTTGGACAGCGTGGTCAAAAAAGTAACGAACGTTTTCTCGTGTTAATTCAAATGGAAGTTATTAAACTAATACCATACCTTTTGTTTATTAAATAAGTTTATATCTTCTACACCAGAAAAATTTCAAAGCACCGCCATGTATAAACAAACCTCATTTCGATACTCCATATACGAAAGAGCAGCCTCACTCGAAAAGGAGCGAAGATTTTAAACATGGAAGTAGAGAAAACTTCTATGATTTTAAAAAATGGTATTTCGTGTAGTAAATCGGTGCTGTGTTAAAAACATGCTATTATTGGCAATTTCGAAGAGTTAGAGTTGGCAATTTCTTATATATCCACGTTGAAGTTTTTTTTAGTTTTGGCTTTTGCACAGAATTTTATTATTACTGCGTGTAATATAATACGGTGAAGCGAGCAGAACACGCATACAGAAATACATGACATCAAACTGGCACAAAAACGAACATATACATATGCATGTATGTTGTAAACAAATGTGGCACATGGAAAAATTGAAAATATTTTCTTGTTGCATAGCTCTGTAAAAATTATCAATTAACTTTTGGTCTTATGTTTACTGATACCTACAGCACAACCCTTGCAAGTGAGTTTGAAAACTGAGGCAATGTTAAAGAATGTTGTCCCACGTACTGCATAGGTCAGAGGGATTAAGTCATTTTCCTTTGACTGTGACTGGCTTTATTTGGTTTTAGAGGTGTTTTTTGGTGAAATGTGAATGTGTATGTCAAAGAATACGCTGCCACCCTCTTGCAATATATGCCTTGAGCACCTCTCGCTGATGCTTGAGATGTTCAGGCACATATCGGTTGGCGGATCCAGACTTTTTTTAAGGGGGGGGGGTTAAGGGTTTAATTGACAGGCCTCAGATTGTAAGGCCTCACCCCTTTGGTGTCAGGTTTTGAAGATTGGTGTTTCGGAGGGCAAATGTCACCATTTTGGTACAGATGAGAACTATGTTTAGGCTATCTGTTTTTTTGGTGCGTTTTTTATCAGAAATCGAAGCGAGGGTCAGGACCCCCCTGACACCCCCCCCCCTAAATCTGCCACTGTAGCATCCCACACTTACAAGTAACCTCTACATACAGTATGGAGTTTATGTCTGTATATCACTGGTATATGTCACAGACTGATGTAAATTTTAGGGATTGTGCTGTCAGTTGGTTAATTTAGTTAGTGATCATTATTTAATCCTTACATGCATCAGTCCAGCTACTTAAGTTACCCATATATACATGTAGCACAGTTTGAAACATACAGAGCTTGCACATTATCAAATGCCTTTCATATCACTCACTTAAGGAAACTTTTGCATTTTGAAAATTGGATTATTGTCCACCCTGTACATGTACATTTGATTTGGAATGTCTATTTGATGTTTTTAATTACAGTTATTTCAAGATAACTTATAGTGACTGAAATTCATACTAATTCTAGGATTTATTACAGATTTATTAAAGAGCTTATGGAAAATAAATAAATATTGACAGATCTTTTTACAACAATCTGTACTGCAATATGTACCATTGCACAATAACTGTCCAACATTATTGCTGAAAAAGTGACAAAGATTGATGGAATCTATTCTGCTACTTTAGTATGTACATTTGAGCAATATTATGCTTCAACAGTTCATTTTAACTGAAGTTTGAAGACTACATTAACATGCCACATGGACTGTACACTGTATGACTAATGTGTTCACACAGTTGAGTGAATGGTATGGTGATTGCATTAACTTTTACAGAGGCAGGCATAAGAGTTTCTCCAACGTTTGTCTTTACAAGTATAGAACTATTTTAATTACTGTTAATTTCAGATTAATTCCATCTCTAAAAGATTTTTCTTTTTGTTCTGTTCTCGGTGGAATGTTATCAACTTATACAGTCCGGGTTCTAGCACACAACTGGGACATCCGTGTACATCATTTATGTGGTGACCTTGCCACATAAGTCATAATGGCAGACTGGAGCATTGACGATCTCTGAGCATCCTCTTCCCTCATTCGAATAAGTTCCTTGTCTTTTTCTCTGACTTTTTCTTGCAAACTCTCAATTTCTCTTTCCTTATCATGGATGAGTTCCCTGTGCTTTCCTGTTTGCTCTGAAGATAAAATGTAATGCCAATTTCATGTCATTGCTGTTAGATAGAAAGCCATTTTATGTAAAAAAAAAACTTGCTGTCAATTATCCAAAGCATTTTTAATGGTAATACAGTACATATTTAACAAAATAATACAGTTAAGGGAGAGAAGTGTCACAGAGATTAACATACCTGAGATTTGCCTCTTCAGTCTTCCTATTTCTTCTTTCAATTCATTCTGAGCTTGCCTTTCAGTTTCTAATTGAGCCATTTTCTGTTTAACTTCCAGTTTTACTTTCCCAACTTCAGCCATCATCTCATTGTTCTTCCCAGACAATTCCTAGATTAGACAACAATAACTAGTAGAATAACAAACTTTTTTATAACAAAACTTCATAATAAATAGAAAATCAGCAATTAAGTAACACATAAGCACACATTAATTTTCTTTGCTTTTGATTCATAATAATTGAATTGTCAAAAAAGCCTATTCACCAAAGTGTCAAAATAAAGTGGAAACTGATATCTAAAATCACAGCGACTCCTGCCATTTTCGGTAACTGTTATAAGCAACCACAAGAGATATGCTGCTAACAGATGTCACTTTCCAATAAACTCCGTAACCGAGGGTGTTCTTACTGTGTTCTGTGCATCGATCCTTCTCTTGTGTGTCTCAAGTTCCAGCACCATGCTGCTGTTCTTCCCTTGGAGCTCTGATATCAGGGCCTGCTGGTGGTTACTATGGGACTGCAGCTCATCCTTGGACTGTTGCAGGATACGCATTCTGTCTTCTAGCTGCTTCTGACGTTGCTCCTAAATGGGGTGAAATAACTTTTAACAACTGTACAGACACATTTCTATGAGATTGAAGATATAGTTACTAAAAGACAAATATGTATTTAATAGAAGTTACATATATCAAACTTGTATCGAAATGCATTTTAATTTATACTTAATTATACATATTTTTTACTTAATTCAAGTCAAAACAAAAAAACATTATTTTACATTTTCTTTTGCAAATTAATTTGATTACTATTTGGCTGAGATTCAATATAACTGAGTCAGCCTAGAGCTTCCACCCACCTCATCAGATCTGATCTTGTGCTTAACTGTGGCCAATTCCTCCTCAGCTTTGATCCTGTCAGCTGCTGCCTGAGATTTCAGCTTGCTCACTTCTTCTTCCAACTCCAAACGTTGCCTCTCTAGTTTGTTGATTCTTTCTCTCAGCTGCTTCTCAGTGTCATCAAAGTCTTGCTGTAGCTTGGCAATCTGATATAGAAGTTACAAGTTTTAAAATTAACAATATTCTTTTTTATAACAAATGAAACTGATGTGAAGTCTTGTTCATGTCAGTATTAAATGAAAGTAATTCAGTACACTACAGCTAGACTCTTTTTAGTTTTTTTAAGGTGACCCGTCCACATAAAGAAGCCAAGTAAATGTAAAATCAATTAACAATCTCTGAAAATGGAATAAATATCATGACACTGTAATAAACATATTTAAAATGAAAGACCTGTCTCACCTCTCGTGTCTTGAGAGACTCCATCTCTTGTAAAATTTCTTTGTTTTTTTGCTTTTCATTATTAAATTTCTCTGCAAAGAAGAAATAAACCATCACACTTCAGTGACTACACAAAGACAAAAGTAACTTCATTGGTAAAATAATGCTCAAAGTTAATTAACTGCTTATTATGCAAAAACACTAATTATAAGAGCAAACCTTCATATTGTGCTCCTTTGAGTTTTATATCAGCTTGTGCATGTGTCAGCTGCTCTTTAAGATCATATATCTGATCTTGTTGCTGCTTGCACTTTCTGCTAAGTTCATCTTCCTGACAAAATAATAATGACAACAATCACGAGAAGGGATTTTCAATATGTTGATATTTGTACCAAGCAAGTAGAAAGAGAGCATGTTTATATATAAATATTGTTTATTCGTGTTAAATAGTGTTTGACCCTTGCTGGGAAGCTAAGGAATAAATAAAACATAATTAATTTAAATGACTTCTTCCATTCTCTAATTTTTTTTTTTTTTGGTCTGAAATTAAAAACTTTATCAAAACAGAACCATTAAACTATTTCAAATGTGCCATTATATTTAAACTACTTGCAATTTCAATTTACCTTAGCTTCTAGTTGCACATTTCTGTCATTAGCTTCAGATAATTCCCTTAAAAGTCTGCTTTCCACAGAGGCTCTGTCCTGAAAGCAACAGAAAGTTAATTAACAAAATATAACAAATGATACATAAAGCAATTATGAAAAATGTTCATGATGAAATGCACTGTCGTATATAGGCTGCCTTTTGCGGGAGGTTAAACATGAGGCCAAATATAAAAGTAGGCAGTAATTCATACAAACTGAAAAAAAGAAATTCTGGATGTTTATTACAAAAAAGTACAGTGTGTGACAGTGACATTAAAAATAAACATTTACAAGAAAAATAAGATGAAAAAATCTGAACAGTCAATGTGCCAAAGCACAATCCCCATGCAGTATTGCACATGCAATATCTTGTTACTAAGTGTACTTACCTCTCTCTCCTGCCTCAGATCACTCTGATGCCTGCTGCTCAGCTCTGACTGATCCTGTTTCATCCTGGCCACAAGACCCTCTAAATCATGGGACTTCTGCTGCTCTAGAGCAAGCTCTGATTCTACCATTGATAATCTGTAATAACAAAGACAAAAGTAAATGCATAATCACTGGACTTATTTCTCTGGTTTGGAACCAGCTCTGACTTAACTATAGACAGTCATCAATAACATAAAAACAAAGCCAAAACTTTAAAGAGAAGTGATGGCATCTAAATACAGAAAAATATCATTATGTAAATGGTGCTATCTGTTTTATAGGTAAATGTACATAAACATATGCAAATGTTAATAATGGCTGCAAAAGAGTACAAACAGAAGCTATTCTTTTTTAAAAAGTTTTATAATAAAAAATATCACTGTAAAAACCAGTTATAACCAGTTTTTTAAAAAAAGAAGACATTGCCAAAGACTTACTTGGCTTTAAGTGACTCAAATGCAGCCTTCCTTTCCTCCAGTGCTGACTGCAGCTGTCCAATCTTGTGTGAAGAGGACCGGGTGGTCTTCCTCATGAAATCTTCCTGCTCATCAATTTTACCCATTAATTCACTCATCTGTAAGAATAGAATATATATAGAAAATTCATAAACCATGCAAAAAAAATACGACCAATGCCGGTAAAAGTCCAAGAACAACATCTAACATCAAGAAGAGTAATATACAAAGAAAAACCATTATTTTGAAAAAGAAAATAAATAATACCAAACAATTGACAGCATTTGTAAATACAAGTATTTGTCATTCTATTCTGAAGTCACCAAGAAATATTATTTCATGATAACCTGCATCATTTTCTCTTCTTTGAGTGTCCTCAGCTCACTGGATAACATATGTGTACGCTGATAGTAATCATTACTCATCAGCTGACGGTCTTCATTATGACCTAAAGCTGTGTCTGGAAAAATATAAAGGTTTCTACCTCGACGTCGACATGTTTTATTACATCTTACTATTTTACTTTCAACTTTGGTCTGAGAAGAAAATAGTCAGGTTTGTCATATTATACATGTAAGTATTTCCAATAATAGTCTTGAATATTTTTCCTAAAATTTTAAAAGGCCCACTATTTCCAATTAAAATCTTGACAATGCTAATTAATACACAAAATTTCAACTGGCATCAAATAAAAAATCCTATCATGTCTTGGGAAAGAGTAGAATATAGAATATCAGTAATCTGAGAAAATTTTTAAACAAAACAAGGCCCTGTTTATCTGTCAACAATGATATTACCAATAGATTGTAAAACATCTGTAGGAATGTTGTTCCCAGCCAAGCTGAGTTTGTAAATAGTTTTGTTTCTCCTCAGTGCTTCCAGGAGAGCTCGCCCTCCAATAATACCAACATTGTTCCACCTCAAATCTGAAAAAAAAAAGTTAATAAATTTCACCTAATATAAAAGTACTTTAGTTTTAAACCTTTATAGATGATCTGTAAAAAACCTGAATGTGGTCTTATTAAAAGAGCCAATATATATCTTGCAAGTTGCTATACAAAAGAGAGAAAAAAATACACAGTTCAATTTTTACCTAATATGCCAGGTCTTTGATATCTTTCAATTTCATTCAAGAATCTTCAAATGACAGTAAGCATGGCTGAGAGAAGTACTGAATATATTATTAATCTAATCAAAAAATAATAATAATAATGCACATTTCAGAACAAGACAAAAATCATGTCTGCTCACCTATTGCCTGTAGTGTGGTGTTCCTCTTCAAGGCAGAGGCCAGCTCCTGCGCCCCATCATGGCTGATCTGGTTGTTCCTGAGGTCAAGCTCCTTGAGGGTGGTGTTGACAGCCAGGGCCTCACAGAATGTACCAAAGGAATTGTCTATCATGCCCATAGCATTCCATTCCAGACACAGACTAGAGGTAGAATTACAAAAATATAACCATCTCATTCTGATTTACAAAATTTAATTCATCTAAATGATACTTTATTCACTCACTATTTTCAAAATATTATTAAAATAAACAGAGCACTTGTGGTAAATGTACATGTAGAAAGAATGATGAGGTCATTACCTAGTTAAACTCTTATTATGGCGTAACATTCTGGCTAGAGCCTCAGTCCCAGTTCCTCTTACATTATTCCCCTACAAAAAATTTTATGTCAAAAAGTGATAAGCATTTATATAGAAATATATCTATTAAATAATTTAGTAAATAAAAACTTTAAAATCTTTTTTTTTTTGTATAAACAGTAAAATATTTTGAAAAGATGATAAAATCTAAAGAAAAGAAAATTATATATTTTGTGAGGAAACCTAATACAAAGAAAACCTAACATACTGTTGTGTATGTAAGTGCTAAATCTTATTGATTTAAAATGAAAAAAAAAATGTAATACATTTTACTTACTTTTAAATCCAGTCTTTTACACACCACATTTTCAGCCAGCCCATAAGCAAGACTTTTAACAGCTGCAAGTAACATGAAAAATGTGTGCACTAATGGTAAAATAATCTGTCATAAATTATGTAATTTTGTAAAACACTTTGATTAAAACCATTCGAAAGTATATGTAGAGATTGAGAAACTGCTTTGTATCCTTTAGAACCTTACCATCTTCATTGAGCATACAGTCTGCCAGTTTTATTTCAGTGAAAGTATGATCTGTTGCCAGCACTTTGCCAAGTACAGTACAGGTCTTTGGTGACAGACTCACACTGGATAGTTTAAGACTTTGTTTGCCTTTTCTGGGACTTGTGGGAATACTGAAAGAAATATTTTAAATGTACACATCTGTGTGTGTTAAGGGGGGGGGGGGTTGTATCTTAACAGACTACATTTAAAGTTATATATAAGTCATGGTCAAAGCCTTAAACACATATATGGTCACCTATCCAGAAGGTGGAAATATTTGTTAATGGTTAACTACAGTGTACGTGACTAAAAGGGAATAGGTGGAAATATTTATTAATGGTTAAATACAGTGTGCGTGACTTTAATCATATCAATATAATAATGCAACATCATTTTGTGAAGATATTGAAATACCTGCAAAAAAAATATTTATAATATTGGGACACAAAAAACATCAAATTCGTACATTTTCAGTTGCTTCATCAAAGCATCATGCGGTTCCACATTGTACTCCCTACACAAGCGTAAGTATGCTGACTTGAATTCATCCATCACAACACCATCTGCAGCTTTCTAGTAACTGTGAATCAGATATAAAACATTTTATCACCAAAGATACAGGGAAAAAATGTACACAGTACATTTGAAAAAAAAAAAACATTTATTTTTCATCTCAAAAAAGTATATTTACCACAACTTTGGTATAAAAGAAAAATGCATTTTAACACATTCACTAATATTCTTTGTGTTCATTTTGCCAAAGCAATCTATAATAATAAATAAATCAGAATATCTGTGTGAAGTGGATTTAAGATTGTGTGACATTCTTCTGTTCAGTATGTAACTGTTACATTAAACATATATATGGCATGCTGGGTATTTACAGTGTACAATATAATCGATTTCCAAAATACAAAAGTTTCCTAACCATCCCCCATAATCTGAATTAAAAACCAACATAAAATGTCCAATTCACCTTGACAAGAGTGAACAGCTTCTCTCTGAAAAGAGGAATCTGAGAAGAAAGATGGGTACTTCACAATAGCTCTGAATACACTATCGCATTTCAAGATGATCCGCAAATTTGGACGCCGTGGTTTAAAAAGTAACGAATATTTTTTCGTGTTTATTCAAATGGAAGCTGTTACGCCAATACCATACCATTTGTTTCTTAAATAAACTTACATGTATCTTTTCGACGGCAGAAAAATTTCAAACCACCGCCATGTTGATATAAACAAGTCTCATTTCGATACTCTGCATACGAAAGAGCAGCCTCACTAACGCAATGTTGAGTGGGAAAGAGCGAACATTTAAAATGGTATTATGCGTAAGTTTGTAAATTGGTGCTATGTAAAACCATGATGATATCGGCCATTTAGAAGAGTTACACTCAATGCAATTTCTAATACATCCCCGATGTTTTTTTTCAGTTTTGAAAAGGTGACCTCAAGCTTGGAACTCGAGCAGGTAACATTGAGTCACATTGCGATTGCGGCTGGCAACGTGGTAGTAATAATAGTAGTAGAATTTTATTGTTAATGTACGTATGTATACAAAACGGTACAGCGAGCAGAACACACACAGAGATATATATAACCCCAAATTGGCACAAAAACGAACGTACATATGCATGTATGTTGTAAACAAATGTGGCACATAGAAAAATTGAAAATATTTTCCTGTTGCATAGCTCTGTAAAAATGTGTTATTAACTTCTGGTCTTGTACATGTATGTTTACTTATATATATATATATACCTGCAGCATGAACCTTGCAAGTAAGGTTGAAAACTAAGGCAATGTTTAAGAATGTTGTCCCATGCACTGCATGCCTGGGTCAGAATATCGACTATAGCTCTTTTTCCCTTACATACCAGTGCCTATACCAGTAGGTGTTATGTGACCGTGGTGATACACACTTTATTTGGTTTTAGGGGTGTTTTTGGGTGAAATGCAAATATTAATGTCAAAGAATACATTGCCACCCTCTTGCAATATATGCATCCTTGAGCACCTCTCGCTGATGCTTGATTGCAGCTTGAGATGTCCTAACTGGCACATACCCCTTGGTTGACAGCTAGTATATTATCTCACTTCCAATTAACCTGTACATACAGTATGGAATTTATGTCTGAACATCACTGGTATATGTCACACACTGCTGTAGATTTTAGGGATTGTGCTGCCAGTTGGTTAAATTATTTTCAAATAAAATGATTATTAATTAAAGTGATTATTCATTTAGTCTGTGCATGCATCAGTCCAGCTACTAGAGATACTCATATACACATTCATGTAGCACAGTTTGAAACATATAGCAGGGGGGGATAGATGCCGTATTCTGGGTCTACCTGAAAACGGTCAGAATTTTTCAAGTTTACATTGATAGGAATCTAATTTTTTGTGGTGGAAGACAATAAAAAATGGAGGATGGATCAACAAAGATAATTTGAAAGACTGTCAGGATATACCTCTGGATCCGCCCCTGTATAGAGCTAGCACATTATCAAATGCCTTAATTAATTTTGCTCCATTCACTTAAGGAAACTTTTGCATTTTGGAAATGAATTATTGTAAACCCAAAAAATATAATGGTAAAAGAAAATATGTAAACCAGAAAACTAAAAAAAAAAAAACAATGTCTCAGATTTAGTGATTTTGCTTCATTCCTACTTTTTCCTGCTAGTATCCCTAACGAAAAAGTCCTATAGAATCCTATAAGATCCTATAGGATCCTATAGGAAATTGGGCCAATTTCCTATAGAATCCTATAGGATCTTATAGGATCCTATAGGACTTTTTCGTATGGGATATCCCCCTAAACTGTAGTATGTTGCAACAGGAAGTATGGTTTTCTTGCATGAACGGTTGGATTCCCTTATTCACATACATGTAGAAGACGCCATACTTGGAATGATATCATCATATAGATTTTGTTGACAACTATGGATTCAGTTACTGTTCATTAACAGCTCAGTGTTCATATTATCACACATTCATAATTCTGTATTGGTGCACTGTTGTTTTTGTTGTTGTTGTTGATGATGAGGAATTAAGACTTCTGCATCCTTTCAAGTATGTTTTAATAGAAAAATATGAGCTTTTCTTGCCTGGCCTGCAGTATTGAACATGCCATAGCCCATAGGATCCAACATACCAAAATTAATTATGATAGTTGTATGGGACATGTCATTGGAATGTGGTCGATGGTTTATGACCCAGCTTTACAAAACTGATAGCTTTGGGTAGTAGCAATGATGATGCTTGTTTTGACCTCTGCCTATACATTTGATTTGGAATGTCTATTTGATGTTTAAGTACTCATAATTATTTCTTTTCATGCTCTGGGTGCTACTTGCACACATGTGCCATATATCACAGGATGTGGTCGACAATTTTATTTATCTGTTATATTTTGAGACCTGCCCATCCATGATATTCAAGATGAGTTTAAGCATGTAGAACTTCCCAGCGCACATCTATGCAGTGGTGCATGGTTTATGAATGGGACTTTATCAAAACTGATCATCTTGTACATTCACTGCCCATTCATACTTACTGCATGTCCAGTAGACTGAGGACGGTCCATATTTCTTTAACCATGCTTTCTCCTTTTTTTCTCCCTGATCAGATGCTGTGAATAGCAGAGTGAAAGGACTTAGTGATCCATGAGTGGTTCAATAGTATGTGGGGACAATAAATCAGTCAGAGGTAAAAGAGTTCTACAGCAAAGTTTTGGTGCAGGACAAACACAGAACAGTCTAGAGCACGGTTAGTATATTTATTGGATCAAAAGTATTATCAGAGTATTTTTTGTTTTTGTTTTTGTTTTTTTTTTATGTTCAGGTTCGTTAAATGTTATTTGGAAGAATACTTGTTAAAAACGTAAAAACAAAGAAGACAAATAGGTAAGTATTTCAACAGTGCATTTCCATTCTAGGTTTTCTCCTTATTTTTCATAGAAAATGCTGCAAAAGAAAATTGGTATCCATTTGGTCTCGGTAACATTTATTCGTTGGAGGGATAGGCAATGAGGAAAAGCTTAGGTGGTTGGCAGTGAGGGAGGAAGAATGGAGGGGGTAGTAAGAGAGCACAAGGGAGAAATGGGGGTAGGCATTGAGAGAGGAAGGGGTAGGCAGAGACAGGAGGGTGGTAGGCAACAAAGGAGAGGGGGTGTGGGTAGGCAATGAAGGAGTAAGGGTATATATACAGTAGGCAATGAGATAGGAACAAGTAGGTAGGGCTTATAGGCAGTAAGGGAGAAGGAACGGGGATAAGGTAGAGAGCTACAGTCAGGACAGGGAGTGAGGAAGTAAGGGGGTAGATAGTGATAGAAGAAGGGACCAGGATATGCAGTTTACCTTTAGCTGTAAAATATTTTGATAGTAAATTGAACAAGCTTCCCTTAAGGCTTAACACCACAACCTGGCAGGTAACATGTGGTCTCCAGGGCTCAGTACTCACCTCTTGGTCAGGTTTAAAGTACAGGTCGGTCCAACTACAAATGAATTATTTCTTCCCCTGCTGTAAATTATTCATTTATGTTGAGAACATACAACTTCAAAGACAGGAACCCCATAGGGTGAAATTGAGTGACACATAGCATGTAATTAACTCTAGAAGGTGACATATCCTGGACATGTCAGATATATGTCCAGAGTGTGATCTTTGGTTACAAAAATAAGAAAAAGACACTTGCATGCATGCACCTACACACAACTACACACGCAAACCTGTGTTTATCCATACAGGAAATATTTGAATATGAAAACCTCACCAAAAAAGAAAAAAAAAGAAAGAGAAAAAAATGTACCTTTAAGTATTAATAAATGGTGGCAACAATCCTTTATTTTAACAAACAAGCACGCTTTCTCTGATTACTACACTTGTAGTAGTTGTACCTACTACGCGTGTACGTACATTAAATAAGGAGCAATTGTCTACATTAACAACAGTAATGTTACTAGTGTAAATCAAAATTAGCAGTTGGGCCTGTCTCAACTTTGTATAATAAGAAAAATAGAAGAAAAGTAATATCTAATTGGATAGAAGTATGACTATTAAAACAGATATTGCAGATTGATACAATCTACAATAAAGTCTTTATAGTTTTTTTTTTTACCTGAAAACAGACTATTACTAAAACTGTTAATTAAAAACTGTTAGTAAGTCATTATTCAGGTGGTACTGTCTTAATTGAAATCTGCTTTTAAGAAATCACTAAAAATGCACATCTGTCAAAGAAGCAATATAATATATGATTTCAAGGTACTTGGGATACATAGTCTTTTTATTCACCCTTAAGCAAGGCTTTTCCCAGAGAACTGTCCAGCCTCCCCCCCCCCCTGCACGTCTAGCTATTAGTATGGCAAATTGGTTTCTGTTGATAAATGTGTGAACACAGTTATTCCTAGTCCACTAAAGTCATTTAATAAATTTCAGTTTAGCGGGTGAATAAAGCTATTTCTCAATGTCACGGCACGTTTGTGCACACACAATCGTAAGTGTCATTTTTGCTTAGGAATCAGAAGTGAAAATTAGGTATTAACCCTGGCAGGCTTTGACAGTTTCTATTGGAGGAACTTGTCAACCCATAAGGGACTAGTGATTGTAAACACACACACTGTCATATGTTGTAATGGCTGTGACAGAAAGTATGCCAAAAGGTATGGCTTTTTGTTAAGTTAGCCTGTCAAGAAAATATTTAAAGGATTGGTATTTTCATTTTACAGTCACTGGAGAACAACTGAAAGATTTTGAAATTTTAGAAGCATATTTGTTTTTAATAGGAGGAGAGTTGGTGTATCCGTTGTAGTACAGAATACATTGCAATACATTGTTCTTTGTGAATTGGACACATTTCAACTTAAACCATGAATAACCTGGGAACATAAGTTACGGGACAAAGATTTAAGACTAAAAAGTACTCATTTTAATAGAAACCCAGGCTCATTACGTAGTGAACTCTGTATCTCCCATCTGGTCCAAATTTGAACAGATGTTCCTCAAAGCTTCAGGTTCAGCAGTAGCTCTGATTACTTCTCTCCTTGCTCCTGCAGGCAGCGGCCAGAACTGAGGCAGACAGAGAGACCATTCATTGGTGGTGGAGGAGAACTGGGTGCTGGTGTTCCCTGCGGAAAACTAGATACTGGTAAGATGTGGAGGCAGTTAACACAGCCAAGGTCATACTTCTGCAGAGTTTGTGATGTCCAAGATATGTCGGTCATGTTCATGACTAAGAGCAGTTAAACTAACAGTTTGATGAAGACGGTAGGAAATGATGATTGCTATTCCAGTATATTTTTACAGTCTGCATGGTCAGATCTCATTATGTGTGCTCTATGGAAGCTGTCTGTATGTTTGTACAAGGCACAGAAGCTGTTGTTCTACTGATGGGTGAAGTATAAGACACTTGATACATCTTTGTGGGGTGAGGAGTTGGTTCTCTGTTGTAGTGTTAACAGATATTGACGGTTCCATGCTTTAACTAGCTATGCTGTCTGACTGTAAGTACATTACTCATACTTACATACATGTGCTACTCTGTGATCACAAAAGCAAGTTTTGATTTACTCGAGTTTCTGTCTCAGAATGTTACAGATGATCAGCTCTCAGATGAAGCCATACACTAATACATTTTAGCTAGTTCAGCTTAGTTCCCTGTCATAAATAGCAGCATGTTTGTGAGCTTGGAAGTCAGGCATCTTTTAGCACCCTCGATAGAAATTAATGCCATCAGGGATAAGTTAATGTTGCTTCTTACAGGTCTTACTGTGGGTAATAAACAACTACATGCTTTATGGCTAGCGCAGGTTTTCTTTGCCAAGGGATGAGTGCTGAGTGCTGTACATAACAATCTTGCAGTTTGCAATCATTTGTGTATTTTGCTATAATCCACAGTGGCTTCTTCTTTTAATGTGGGTAATAAACAAGTTTTGCAGATGCATATTTTGTTATAAATGTATTGTGACCATTATTCTTAATGTGAATTGTGTATGTGACCCAATGACTACAGTAACCACGGTGACCCATTGACCACTGATGCGATCAGTCACCAAGCTTAAGAATTAAATATTGCCAACTGCATGGTGAATTAACAAATTGAGGTCTAATGAAAGGAAACTGCTCGCTACATCCCTAAAAACATATCCCATGCATGCTACATTATGTGTTTGTTTGAAAATCATAGGTAAATGATTAGTTAAATGATGGTAACTGTTGTAATGGCTTTCTATTAAAATCATGGAGAGGAAGCAACATGATCATAGCTACAATGTATCATAATAACAGATCTAGAGGTAGATCTTAGAAAATTTATATGAATTAACAATCTTTATCTGAAATTTACCCAAGTCTTTGGTTGATAGGCAAATTATCCTGCTGCAGAAGGTGAATTTACTTTTTTTCGGTTTTGCATGGTCCAAGTTTAGAAAGAGATTGAGCCAGTTGAATGGGTACAAACTTTTCGGATTCTCACCTAAGGCCAGGTAATAGCTACCAATTTACTACTATGATATCTTGGGTTATTTCATACCAGTACTTTGGGGCAATTCAGTCATAAACCATTCTCATGAAAAACCTCTGCCTGATTAAGCCCTCAAATGAGCTGATTTTTTCCTTTTATAGAAATAGACAAGATGGCTATTTTTTTTATAACATATAAAGTTTATAAAAAGTGGATGCTGTCTGCCTTATTGATTACCTTTTACATTGGTGTTACTTTTTCAAGTAACCCAGTTAAGATTTTAAAAGTGATTTGCTTTGGTGTTCTTAGCTCTTAACTTTTGCAACATTGTGAAGAAAAGGGTTCAGTATAAACAAAGTTGTTTTGGGCGTGAGAAATGAAAAAAATCTTGACTGGTTTATTCATAGGAAATAACGTGCGTGACATGAGCATGTACATGTCACTGCAATGAATGGGAAAAGTTCTTGAAATAACTTAACAATACGTAAATAAATTGAGTGACTGTTGTTGTCAATTAAAAAGTTCAACTTTGAAAGATTCAGACCAAGTGTGACTTATTAAGCAGAGAATTTTTGTGGTATTTGGGGTGCAGAAATATTTTTGGTTGAAAAGGATCGCCCCCATACATGTGATGACCCATACCTTAGTAATGTGTAACAAATCTGGTCAAGCTGCGTCATACTTGCAGGGCATACCTGGAAATGACCAATAATTATATTTTTACAGCTGATTTTAAGCATGATATTCTTGTTGTTGCTGGTCAAAGTAAGTGTGGTTGTGGCAAGCAAATGTCTTTTTGTGGTGAAAAGGTATCTCATTTTCTCTTGCTATTATTTTTTGATTGCTTTTGTATTATGGGGTTCACTGGTCAATGAAATAAAATGTCTTATGAGCAAAATAGATTAATATCCTGATTAAATTTAAATTTCATATTTTTTGTATACATAATTTTATATAGAAAAAAAACTGACATTGAAATAACACTTTTCACAAATGCACCCTGTGAATTGAATTATGTGCACAGTATATGACACATTCATGAAATGAAAATAATTGAAGTTGAAATAGAAACTTTCTAGCATTCTTTAAAACAAATATAAATGTACTAGTATGAGTTCAATACTGGTTCATTGTGTCTATGACATGTGTGTTAGGGAACATTATTAGTTTCTAGCCACCACCTTAAGTTGATCCAGCAAATACCAGAGCCTGTTATCATAGATAATCTCTGTTTATAATGACCACAATACAATGGCTATTATGTCACCTGGGGGCTGTGACGGGGAGTAGGGTGGACGGAGAAAAGGATGGGGTGATGGACCAGGACCTGTCACCAGGTACATGTAGGTAAGTATCAGGGGCGGATTTAGGCCATCGTCTGGGTCTTCCAGAAGATGGTCAGATTTTTAAGTTTACATTGTCAGGCATCTAATGTTTTCTGTCGGAAGACAGTCAAAAATGGAGGATGAATCAACAAAGGTAATTTGGAAGACTGTTAGAAAATATCTCCGGATCTGTCCCTGAGTATCATAATCTAAAAACAAATGTACTGTAGTATTCATCACACATAAATTATCTGACCTCCACATTAATTATCTGATCTCCACAGCCAGAAATGCAATATATGCAACATAATTTCATATGCTTGTTGTTGTTGCCATTAACTCTTGCTTGTGACATAAGTATCAGGTAGTGCAGGACCTTGTTTCACCAAGGAACATAGCTCAGAGGTGTGGCTGAACTTCAGACTGGACATTTTGGTCTATTAATTTTGACCTTGCAGAAGGTTGTAGTAGCCTATTAAATGAGGACAATGGACCCGTTTCACAAAAACAAATTATAATTATTAATACAGGTACCAGTAGTCATTTTATGTCTCTTGTGTTAGTGGATTATTACTGAATTATCCTAAGTCAAAGGAGACTTAAGTTTAGAGTCTTTCAATTTGAATTATTTTGTGGAACCAACAAGAAACTGCTTTTTTAAATAAATAAGTTTGTGCACTTCTGATTTCTTGCATAAATGTAGAATGAATTGTTGGAAGGCTGTCACAAAAAAGTTAATAATTGTCACTTCTTGTGTGTGGATGATGCTGGGGACAAGAAGGCAGGATGGGTTATTTTTGTGAAAAAGTGGGACTGCTTTACCCCAATAGATATACATGTAGTTGACCCAATTGTTTAAGAAATGACGTCAAACTGAATTTTGATCTATTAAGTGAATTTTTTTTTTAGTCAAAAGGGTAGTTCTTTCAACACCCATCAAACCTCACCTGCCTACAGGCCTGCAGTGTTAATTGGATGGTGTGTCAGTGCATTGTAATCTGCTAGCGTTGATAATGCACTGACATTGATAATGTAGCCCCATAAACTACTCATTACATAGATAAGTAATCTCCAGACTGTTTGCTCTTCAGTCCACAAAATTTAACACCAATTTCTATAATATTATGTATTTACATATAGCCTTATTTTAGTTGTTAATTTGTCGGTTGTCATGGTACAGTGGTGTTCTAATTCGCATTTCTTTTTTTTTATGTAAAATGAGTGCCCCCAAAAGAATTCCCTTCAGGCAGTGGTTTCGAAAGCATTTGAACAGTGTTACTTAATGAATCAGGTGAATTTTCAACATTTTGCAGGTGCCTTCCAACAGATTCCACTTGTCTTCTCNACTTCTGATTTCTTGCATAAATGTAGAATGAATTGTTGGAAGGCTGTCACAAAAAGTTAATAATTGTCACTTCTTGTGTGTGGATGATGCTGGGGACAAGAAGGCAGGATGGGTTATTTTTGTGAAAAAGTGGGACTGCTTTACCCCAATAGATGTACATGTAGTTGACCCAATTGTTTAAGAAATGACGTCAAACTGAATTTTGATCTATCAAGTGAATTTTTTTCATTCAAAAGGAGTTCTTTCAACGCCCATCAAACCTCACCTGCCTACAGACCTGCAGTGTTAATTGGATGGTGTGTCAGTGCATTGTAATCTGCTAGCGTTGATAATGCATTGACATTGATAATGTAGCCCCATAAACTACTCATTACATAGATAAGTAATCTCCAGACTGTTTGCTCTTCAGTCAACAAAATTTAACACCAATTTCTATAATATTATGTATTTACATATAGCCTTATTTCAGGTGTTAATTTGTCAGTTGTCATGGTACAGTGGTGTTCTAATTCGCATTTCTTTTTTTTTTATGTAAAATGAGTGCCCCCAAAAGAATTCCCTTCAGGCAGTGATTTCGAAAGCATTTGAACAGTGTTACTTAATGAATCAGGTGAATTTTCAACATTTTGCAGGTGCCTTCCAACAGATTCCACTTGTCTTCTCGAGCTCTGTTGTTTTCCCACCTTGTATTCCTCTTCTCTCTTGGTGCAAGTGGAAAGAAAAACGGAATTATTTTTGCATATGCTGTTGTCTGTTTTGATAAGTCATGGGACCTCCCGGCATTTCCATGTGTCATATACATGGTTGCACAGTTTATACAATTCCCCTTGAAAATAGCAACAAGAGCTCTCCTCAAGAGCAGGCATTGCCCTATGACATTTACAGCTCAGATGGTTACTTGCATTTTGGCAAAGAACACGGCAGGTATTCTTGATATATGATAGTTCTCTCTCTCTCTCTCACAGTCAGCCCTGGGTCTGTTTTCTTGTAACCTCTATTCTCATTGCTTTTTATTC